TACAGTTATTTTGTTTTTTTTTTAATTTTGTTTTCTACGTCTTAGTTTTAATATTAGTTAACGCTATTCTTATCTTAAGCACAAACGTTCTTAAGCAAGATGTGTTCACACCCAAAAGGGTGAATTCTATAATGTACTTTTTTTTTCCTCTAAATAAGTTCAATGTTTATGTAAGCAGATGTTTATATAAATACCCAACAATTTCGAAGTCGTCGTGGCCTAAAGGATAAGACGTCCGGTGCATTCGTATCTAGCGATGCAACGGTGTTCGAATCCCGCAGGAGGGTACCAATTTTTTCAAATGAAATACACGTACTTAACAAATGTTCACCGTTGACTTCCACGGTCAAGAAAAAACAACGTGTAAGAAAAATTAAACCCGCAAAACTATGATTTGTGAATTACTGGTGGTAGGACCTCTTGTGAGTCCGCACGGGTAGGTACCACCACCCTGCCTATTTCTGCCGTGAAGCAGTAAGGCGTTTCGATTTGAAGGATGGGGTAGCCGTTATATTGTAAAAACTGAGACCTTAGGATTATATCTCAAGGTAGGTGGCGGTATTTACGTTGTAGATGTCTATAGGCTCCGGTAACCCCTTCACATCAGGTGTGCCGTCAGGTCGTCCACCCGCCTAATCAAAAAAATTTTATTGCTTAGATGGGTGAACGAGCTCACAGCCTACCTGGTGTTAAGTGGTTACTGGAGCACATAGACATCTACAACGTAAATGCACCACCTACCTCGAGATATAAGTTCTAAGGTCTCAGTATAGTTACAACGGCTACCCCACCCTTCGAACCGAAACGCGTTACTGCTTCACGGCGGAAATAGGCGGGGTGGTGGTACCTACCCGTGCGGACTCCCAAGAGGTCCTACCACCAGTGAAAAAATTTAAATGATGAATGGCGAATTAATTTGCAAAAAATGAATACAAAGAAAAGTCTTCGCGTTTTAAAAGTCCACGTGAATATCTATGTTGTGCAAAAACGCATTACAAAACAAAACCATAGCAATAAATCGAGTTAATTGTTATTAACCGCAATCTTTATTTGGCGCACTGACGACATTCTAACGTGTTTCATTTCTTACACAATATTTAATGATATAATAATTATTATAAGTTTTATTGATGGGTCAATTATTGCTGCCATTGTTACGCCAATACCTGTGTAATTAGAGAGAGATATATATACATATATCATATTAAAGTTTCAATTCATTATAGTCGAATTTCGACTACCACTGGTAGATAATAAGCGCCCAGACAAAGATCAAACAAACCTGTTTATCGCACGAATGTTTGCCCGATGCGAGGATCGAACCCGCGACCATTGGCTTTGGCGCAACAGTCAGGGGCGATATTTACTGCGCCACCGAGTCAGTCAAAGATCTGACATTATAACTAGTCAGGTCATAAGTATTGTCACACAGTAAAAACTTTTCTTTTAGAATGCTGGCCACAAAAAAGTTTATTGAATTCGAATTTCGAATTGTTCATGAAAATAAAAATGTATACTTTTAGAATTTTACTCATTTTGAAATATGGAGTGGACGCTTAAAGAAGACCGTGTTGCAGTTATTGCGTTGCATCGTTGCGGTTACGCGCCAATTCAAATTTTTAACATACTGAAAAATTTGAATATAACCAAAAGATTCGTTTATCGTACCATCAAACGATACAATGAAGACTCTAGTGTAGATGACAGGTCAAGAAGTGGTCGCCCTCGGTCTGTTAGGACTCCAGCAGTGATAAAAGCTGTGAAGGCGCGAATTCAAAGAAATCCCAAACGTAAGCAGAAACTGTTGGCCCTTCAGATGGGGTTAAGCAGAACCACGGTGAAAAGGGTGTTAAATGAAGACTTAGGGCTTCGGGCATATCGAAGAAAAACAGGACATCGTTTGAATGCTCGTCTAATGGACCTGAGACTGAAGAGATGCCGCGCTTTGTTGAAGCGGTACGCGGGAAAAAAATATCGGGAAATTCTTTTTTCGGATGAAAAAATTTTTACCGTAGAAGAGAGCTACAACAAACAAAATGATAAGGTGTACGCACACAGTAGTGAAGAAGCGAGCAACCGTATTCCGCGTGTCCAACGAGGTCATTTTCCATCCTCGCTCATGGTATGGTTGGGAGTTTCTTATTGGGGCTTAACAGAGGTACATTTTTGTGAGAAAGGTGTAAAAACGAATGCAGTTGTGTATCAAAATACAGTCCTGACGAACCTTGTGGAACCTGTTTCTCATACCATGTTCAATAACAGGCACTGGGTATTCCAACAAGATTCGGCGCCAGCTCATAGAGCGAAGAGCACACAAGACTGGCTGGCGGCGCGTGAAATCGACTTCATCCGGCACGAAGACTGGCCCTCCTCCAGTCCAGATTTGAATCCGTTAGATTACAAGATATGGCAACACTTGGAGGAAAAGGCGTGCTCAAAGCCTCATCCCAATTTGGAGTCACTCAAGACATCCTTGATTAAGGCAGCCGCCGATATTGACATGGACCTCGTTCGTGCTGCGATAGACGACTGGCCGCGCAGATTGAAGGCCTGTATTCAAAATCACGGAGGTCATTTTGAATAAACTTTAGTGTCATAAGAATCTATGTTTTGTTAAGTTCATTTTGGTATATGAATGGTTACATAATGAATAAACTTGTTTCAATTATTTTACATTAAACATGTGACAGAATTTATGACCTGACTAGGTATTTACTGGTGGTAGGACCTCTTGTGAGTCCGCGCGGGTAGATACCACCACCCTGCTTATTTCTGCCGTGAAGCAGAAATGCGTTTCGGTATCAAGGGCGGGGCAGCCGCTGTATCTATACTGAGACCTTAGAACTTAGATCTCAAGGTGGGTGGCGCATTTACGTCGTAGATGTCTATGGGCTCCAGTAACCACTTAACACCAGGTGGGGTGTGTGCTCGTCCACCCATCTAAGCAATAAAAAGAAAATATATGCGTTCCTTCTAAGTTCCGCAGCCATCTTGATAAAGCTTGGCGTAAAGTTCTTGTCTGCATTCCACGACACTTAAACTGTTTGGGTTAATAAATAATATTATGTATTTATGGGCGCAAACGCCACTATTGGCAATAATTAACATAATGATATATAGTTTAGTTTATTATATGTTATTGTTAATTTATTATTAGCAAGATGAAACTGTTATTCTACCATATTTAATTACTTAACACCAGGTGGGCTGTGACCTTGTCAACCCATTCAAGCAATAAAAATAAAAAAAATAAAAAAATTAGCAGATCTACACTGTTTTGATCTGAAGATTATCAGAATAGGTTTAATGTTTATATTATTGTTTAAAAACACAAATTACTGTATAAATAATTAAATATGAATAAAGCATAAATATTAATAATAATTTATATTATAATTAACAGTAATAATTTAATTAAGTATTGTAATTGTTATGCAATGATGTTGTTGGCACTATCTTTTATTAGGCTGGATAATAACAATTTTAGCTTATATTAGTTAAAAGTAATTTATGTAAAATTAATTAATGTTGGAGTCATGTAAAAATCACTAAAATATGTCCTTATGTAATATTAAGTCATATTTTGTGAATTCTTTCGCAGTAACTACATTTGTTTGTATAAAATAAGTTGTATAAGCTATACCCATCACAAAAATAGCTAATTATGTAAGAACTAAGACGTGGCTTTTTGTAAACAAGTAATGTTAAAGTTTTATGGAATTATATTATATTTTTATTGTAAAAGATCTTATGTGTGAAAGGCCTGGCGTAACGCCGACATATACGTAATTTAAATACAACAAAAATACGCTGAATAGCAAAGCGTATACTTACAATTGATTGCCTCTTTTTCGTACAGTTGAAATCGGTCACAATATCGGAGCGAAGCCCATAATAAAATTGTTTCATCATCAGCCTTCGATGCGCGTGCTATTCTGGCGTCTTAGGATCGTTGATAATGATATTCAAAGAGTCCGTTGAAAACAAACGCGAGCTCTGGTAACCATTTAACATCAGCCGGGCCGTGCGCTCTTTCACCTATCGACGCACTATTAGACAAAGGAATGATAAAGCTTTATCTGTCATTACGGTTCCTCCCGATCCACTAACGGTGGTTATAAGTACCTCAGGCACCGGTCATCGTTCTCGTCAAACCTGTCACTGGCGACCAAGGGCTCGACGAGTAAATTAACCCACAGACACAGCCCACTGAGTTTCTCGCCGGATCTTCTCAGTGGGTCGCGTTTCCTAAACCGGTGGTAGATTCTGCGAAGTACTGCTCTTGCTAGGGTTCGTGTTAGCAACATCGTCAGGTTTGAGGCCCGTGAGCTCACCTACTCGCCCGGTGACGCTGATATGGTCTCTCTAGAGTCTAGACCATGAACTTAGTAAGGAAAAAAAGCAGCATTTATACAGCAGATATCAGATATAACTTTTAAACTATAGTGTCGCGTCAAAATTCTAAGTACCTAAGCTAATAAAGTTGCTAATTATTTCATTAAAATATTTGGTAACAAATTATGTACTTAATAAAAAAAAAATTTGTATTTGTAAAGATTTTTTTATGTTTATTTAGCAAGGATCGGAGAAAACAAAATTACATTGCGTAAAATTACCTACGTAATTCTTCAAAATTTGCTAATTATTTCTTACGACACTCCATCACGAATTGCATTAAATAAACCGTATCTATTAAAAAAAAAACACCAAAGGGTATGTCTTACTTTGTTAATTTATATCTGGAAATAGTGAATCGGGAAATACGGCAATATTTTCTGTTAAAATTGTGTAATCAAAAACGTCACACGCTAAGTGTAGTTTTAAGAATTTCTTTTCCGAATTATGGATGGACGAACTCACGATCCGCCCAGTACAAATGTTGTGGTGTGTTTAAGGGTTCCTGAAAAACCGGTGATCACGGTGACAACAATTAGATACCATAATAATATGGGAAGTCCAAAAAAAAACTAACAAACATTACATTCATAATTTGTTCACAGAAAAATAATTGAAAATGGCGCCATCTGCTAGCGTAGCCGAATACTACGCGGGCAAATCGATTTTCATCACAGGAGCGACGGGCTTCATGGGAAAAGTATTAGTCGAGAAACTATTGAAGTCATGTCCTGGTTTGAATAAACTCTACCTATTAATGAGGCCCAAAAAAGGGCAAAGCAGTAAAGAGAGATTAGACGACTTCCTCGGATTCAAGGTTAGTAGCGCCATCTATTGACGACAGCCGACATTATTTTTATAAGAAACGCAACTCCTCATCACCAGCTCTAAGCTGATCTAAGCAACGAGAAAACGTGCCATAGTCTTACTAGCTAGAACTACTAATGGCGCTACAAACATTAATATCAATTTTGCAGTTATTCGGGCCGTTACAAAAGGAAAACCCGAAGTGCTTCGAGAAACTTCACGTTGTCCCGGGCGACATACTGATGGATGACTTGGGCATATCAATAGCAGACAGAGAGCTGATACAGCGGGAGTGCCAGGTCATATTCCACTGCGCCGCCTGCGTAAGGTAAGTCAATTTTACCACCGCCATCCAACGGAGAGTTTACGTGATAACGTCAGTAGCGGAACTAATCTAAATGCTAGCTCTGACGTCACGCAAGAAGAGAGATAAACGTGTCACAAGCCAACGCTCAGGCCGATTGTGCCTCTCTATCGCTTGTTCCGCGCTCTCACTTGCACGTTCAGCCTTGGGCGGAACGTGACACTTTTTCGTGCGTGCAGCCATAGTTCATCGACTTATAAGATGTCATCACGTCAACAGTTTTTAGAGTTAGAGTCGTGCAAAACGAGCTAACCGTTCGGATTCAAGTTTAGGCGGTTCATCAGAAACCGAGTTTCTGGTGTATGTACTGTGTGTTTAGTGTGAGTAGTGGTGTACTGTGTGTTTAGTGTGAGTTTTTTAACGTTCTCGATAGCGTAAAAGTTAACTCATATTTGTATGGAATGGGATCGTTTGCCTACGTGTGCTGCTAGGGGCGCTGTTCCAACTCCATACAAATGTGAGTTAACTTTTACGTTATCGAGAACGTTAAAAAACTCGCACTAAGCTCAGTCATGACGTAATAACGATAAAACCGTTTGGTGATTCCAGATTCGATATGTTTCTGCGTGACGCCGTCAATTTGAACACGGTAGCTACAAAGAGAGTGTTGGAGCTCGCCAAGGACTTTAATAACCTCGAGGTATGCAATGATGATGGCGAGCAATTCATCTAAACGCCGTATGTGTATGGAGGAATCGGAGGTATCGTTCTGCTGTTGTAGCTTCCATTAGACTCCTGCAGTTCCAGCAATAGGAGAAGATATAGGGATCCTGGTAGCTGTACTCGTCGAAATGATCCAAGAGTTCGACGCGAAACCTAACTCATAGTTATAGCCCGATATATTTCTCGCCGGATCTTCTCAGTGGGTCGCAATTCCGATCCGGGGGTAGTGTGGCGGGTAGCCAACATACAACTCAAGATATTTGACAGATGCCTGAATATCGCTTACGATATTTTCAAGATCACGTCGGGCTCAACAGTTTGTAGGTATACTACAAAGGGAAGACCTTCCACCGAGCGGGTGATATTGCTTGCGTGTTCGGAACTTGTATATATGCAAGCTTATCTTGATAATGTCGTAAGCGAGATTCAAGCATCTGTCAAACGGTCATTTTATTTTATTTATTTATTTAATATATTTTGTACACACAGCTGTTAGAAAAGACACGTCAATAAGGATACAGAGTACAAGGGCACAACTTATTTCATGCTGAAATCTCTTCCAGTAGGCCCGCAGAAGGAAAGAAGAATTAGGAACACAAACCTAGTGCATACAGTAAACATTACATATAGTAATATATACATATTACAAGATACAAAACAATATATATACATACAAATACACACACACACACACACACACACACATATATATATATAACATACACACATATACTTACTTTATATTATAATACATTATACAAATATATATAATTTATTTAAGATGGTAAGGATAAATAATGTTCCTTAACAGATTTCTTGAATGCTGCTATGGTTTTGCACGCTCGTATGCTTGGAGGGAGGGAATTCCAAAGTATAACTGCTTGTACAGAAAACGATTTTGCGTAAGCATGTGTTTTATGAACAGGGCAATTGAGGAGAGTTTTAATGTGTGTTCTACAAGGAGCAATGGAGGGACGGGCATAGGTAAAGCGATCACGTAAATATTGTGGGTAGTTAGGATTATGTAGGATATTAAATAGGAAGCACAACATTCTAGTATTTCTGCGGAAACGGACTGGGAGCCACTTGAGCTTTTTGCGAAATTCAGAAATATGATCATATTTTTTGAGACCAAAAATAAAACGGATGCACAAATTTTGCAAACGCTCAAGCTTATTGAGAAGCTCCTCAGTGGCATCCAAGTAGCAAGCATCAGCGTAGTCCAAAATGGGTAAAATGAGACTATGGGCAAGAGAAATTTTAGTTTCCAAAGGCAAAAAATATTGGAGACATTTGAGTGAATGGAATGCAAAGTAAACTTTATGTGTAAGGGTAAGTTAAAAAACAATTTCCAAAGCAATAAATAAATAGATAAATGGTTTTTTACGCGCTACGCGAATAGCTTTGAGTAGCTTCGGAACTGAATTAAAAAAAATCGTGAAATTCACTAAGGCCTTCATCCACGTATCGACGTCCTATTGCCGCTGCGAGCTGGACCTTCTAGAAGAGAAGCTGTATCCTTCTCCACACCGTCCCGAACACATCATGGACTGCATGAGTTGGATGGATGATCAGCTGGTCGCGCATATGCAGCCCAAGTAAGTTCATTTTAATGAAAATACTGAGGAATTGATTAAGATGATTCCATCATCTCGTTTTTACCATCGCACCGCCCGCCACCGGAGTAAAGTTCATCCATACTACCTGGAGCCACTGCGTTCATCCACAGTGCGTTTCTAGAGATCTTTTTTGCCACGTACCATCCGGCTATGGAATGAGCTCCCCTCCACGGTGTTTCCCGAGCGCTATGACATGTCCTTCTTCGAACAAGACTTGTGGACAGTACGTAACGGTAGGCAACGGCTTGGCTCTCTTGGCGTCTATATTCAAATTTAAGTTAAATAGATTTAATGTTAGTTTAAAATATAAATTGTCATGCCGGTACGAGCAGCGCCATCTGTTGTCAAAAAACAAGAACAGATATCGAAACGATTAGAAACGAGTGTTCTAAGAAAGTTCTCGATACTGACAAGATTAGTCTAGAGCATTCTAGAATGTTCTAGTTGTATCGAGAATGTTCTAGAAATTTTTGGGCATAGTCGAGACGATTGTAGGAGCGTGACATATGAAAGTGTGAAGGGAAGCTATGCGAAGCGAAGCGAGGAAGTGAATAGGTGAAAAAGTTAAGTGTTTAGAAGGAACAACAGAAGAATAAGAAAACTATCTTTCTTACTGGTGGTAGGACCTCTTGTGAGTCCGCGCGGGTAGATACCACCGCCCTGCCTATTTCTGCCCTGAAGCAGTAATGCGTTTAGGCTTGAAGGGCAGGGCAGCCGTTTTACTGTAAAACAGAGACTTAGAACTATGTCTCGAGGTTTATGGCGACATTTACGTTGTCGTGAATACTTGACACCAGGCCGTATCATCTGATTTTGTTTTTATACATGGCCGGCGATTCAAAAACTTTTCACTTGCCACTTTAAATTTAAATTTCCTACCTGAGCTGAAATGGCCTGGAGAGGCTATGTCAGCGTAACCTTACAAGTAGGTGAGCTCACACCTGACGACGTTGCTAACACTGGCCCTAGCGAGAGCGGTGCTTCGCAAGATTTACCACCGGATCGGAAACGCGATCCCCTGAGAAGATCCGGCGAGAAACTCAGTGGACTGGGTCTGTGGGTTAATTTACTCGTCGAGCGCTTCATCGCAAGCGACGAAGACGGTTCGGCGAGAACGATGACCGGTTCAGTGGCCACATTTTAGGGATCTCGTATGAGGAATCAAACTATGTATGACAATGGAATATTCTTACCTAAGTGGCATATAATCACCGAATACACTTTAAGCTTAAAGTTTTCTTTGCAGCAATGGAAAGCGTTTTAATGCTAATGCTAAATCTTCGCAGGTTAATCGAACCCCAACCCAATACATATGCCTACACGAAGTCTCTTACGGAGGACCTGGTATCACAATACGAAGGGAAATTCCCTATTACGATCGCGCGGCCATCTATCGGTGAGTAGACGTACTAATTCGAGTTCAGATTAGACAATTTTACCTTGTCAATAAAGAGAGCACTTAAGATGTTAGAATCGTTGTCGATGTAGATGTCTATGGGCTCCGGTAACCATTTAAAACCAGGTGACCTGTGAGATCGTCCACACATCAAAGCTATAAAAAAAAATTTAAGGGCTTGCGTATGTCTTCTTTATGTTCTAGTGACTGCAGCGTATAAGGAGCCTATACCAGGATGGGTGGACAACTTGAACGGACCAACGGGACTTCTTGTAGGAGCTGGAAAAGGTTTTAGTCCTCTTGCCTTTCACAATCATTCTCCTGCCCTTCTACCAGTCACCTGGAGTAGGCGTAACATGTTTTCTCCTTCCATACTCTTCTATCAAAAACCATTTCTTCGCTCACTCCCTTCTTACACATATCATCTATCACGCAATCCATCCATTTCTTCTTAGATCTACCTCTTCCTCTATATCCTTCCACATTCATAGTTAACACTCTCTTACCAATCTCATTGTCATTTCGTCTCATCACAATGTCAATACCATCCCAAACGCGCACTTCTCAACTTCAACACTTTCAACAGGTGCCACTTTCAGACTTCCTCTAACATATTCATTCCGTATTCTATCCATTCTTGTTACTCTTGGCTTTGTCCTACTCTATATGCCCTCATAATCTCCTGTATACCCTTATCCTACGTGTGATTCATGCAGCATGTCTTTAGTTTCCATTCAGGCCTACCATACGCCATCTCTGCACTCACACCCTTCTCTCGCATAACCACATTACACGACTCATCCAAGTCTTCTTAGAACGCCCTCTTTAAGTGCTTAAAAAGGTTATTGGGCCATTTCTAATTGGACTATGTAAGTAGCCCGCGGCGATTTCAATTGAACCCATAGATATTAAAACCTTGAAGCTTCAATTTGACCGGTAGATGTGAAAAGAAAGGGGCGGCGAAGTTTCTTAGATCTCGTTTTTCTTCTTCAGGGGTCATAAGAACAATGCATTGCGACGATTCGCTTCAAACTGACGTTGTGCCGGTCGATATGGCTGTCAACGCTTGCATTTTACTGGCGTATCTCACGGGCGTTGAGAAGTAAGTAGTAACTTGATGTGTTGATTTTTTTACCTATGCTGATTGCCTTTAGAGGCTATTTCAGTTTCACGTGTAGGTGAGCTTACAGGGCTCAAACCGGAGTGTTGCTAATACTGGCCCTAGCAAGAACAGTGCTTCACAGGACTCCGATCCGAACAATCGAATCGGAAGCGCGACCCACTGAGAAGATCCGGCGAGAAACTCAGTGGGCTGTGTCTGTGGGTTAATTTACTCGTCGAGCCCTTCGTCGCAAGCGACGGGTTCGGCGCGGACGGTGACCGGTGCTTGTGGTACCTAAAAGCACCGTTAATGGATCGGGAGGTTCTGTAATGACGTGCTTAGGGCAACGTCGACTGTTTACCATTCGGTCCACAGGATCGGGTATGCAATTGCTGGTCTTCGTTGAAAGATTGTGTCTATCTCTTATATCCATTTATGTTTCTTCATCGCAGAAATCTTTAGTAAATAGCATGTTTAACGCTGCGTATTAAATCGTTTCCGGCCGAATACAGCGGGCGCCACGCACGCTAGCAGACACTGCATGATTTAAAACTGCTTCCGTTTCGGTCGCGTCCGCGTAAACTTCTATTAGTCTGACTTCCCTGATAGACAGATGGCGTTGTTTATCACACGCACACTAATGATGGCTTTTAGATGTTAAATACCAAAAAAAAACGCACTAGGCACGTCGTTGCGTCAATATCGCCACCTGTCTTTAGAAATGAGGTCTCAAATGCATTATCCCGGTCCGATCTGACCGCACGCGTGCTTCGCCGCAGAAGAAGGCAAGGGCTTACAATATGCCCTAAACGGTGGTAGCTGGGAAGGGTAGGGTAGCCGCTGTAACTATACTGAGACCTTAGAACTTACTATATCTCAAGGTGGGTGGCGCATTTACGTTGTAGATGTCTATGGGTTCCAGTAACCACTTAACACCAAGTGGGCTGTTAGCTCGTCCACCCAACTAAGCAATAAAAAAAAAGTCGTGTGCTTCTTCCTATACCCTTGAACCGAAGAACTGAGTTTTAAGGTCGCCTCCTCTTTTTCAGACCGCAAAAGATCCAAATATGCAACATAACGCAATCAGGATTGAACCCCATCACTTGGGGAGAAGCGCTCGACATGGGTGAGTTTACGGAAAATACACCGAATTCAACCCGGATCCCGGAGTACCGTGGTCCGCACAATCCGAACGACGATCAAAATATTACAGACGCTTGAAGATACACAGATAACCTATACTTCTATACTAATATTATAAAGAGAAAAGATTTGTTTGTTTTGTATTGAATAGGCTCCGAAACTACGGAACCGATTTGATGATAGAATAAAATACTGTACTACGACTTTGTAGAACACATTATTATTTAAAAAAAGTGTCGCGACAGCACATGTCTAACTATTATAGTTATGCCGCAATAAGTGTTCTTTTATTTAAAAAAATAAAACAACGTCAAATATTGTTGAAATTTTGGTTAAAGACCCGAGCGAAGCCGGAGCGGGCCGCTAGTTTAAAACTATTTTTACAGTTCACGTTATTTCTATCGTTGGCGATCACGTAAACAGTTAACGCTTCGACTGCCAAATTCAAATTCAAATTCAAAATCATTTATTTCAACTTAGATGTCAGTATGACACACTTGTTGAATGTCAAAATACAAATAACAATGTTAACTCTACCACCGGTTCCAAAAAAAGCCACAGTCCTGAGAAGAACCGGCGAAACAAACTCAGCGGGCTTTTTTTTTTTTTTTTTCTCAAATATTTTCTTTTTTTTAAATAAATAGAAATATTCACAATAAAAGAAAAAACAAGTCAAAAAAATACAATTAAAAAAATAATAATAATAATGAAAAATGAAAAGGCCAGGAGCGAGCGCCTCATTCCCACGTAGTGCCATCTAGTAAATAATCCTTAACTTCATAATATGCCTTGTTGCACAAACGTTCCTTAACAGTTTTCTTAAATCTATGAACAGGTAGTAATTGAACGTTTAGTGGGATCTTGTTGAAAAGCTGTACACCCAGCCCCCTAAAAGAGTTGCTTATTTTCTTAATTCGAGCCGCCGGCAACGCAAGCCTATGTTTGTTCCTAGTGTTCACATTGTGCAAATCGCAGACTCTGGGGAATTCTTCAATGTTTTTACGCACGTACAATAAATTTTCAAAAATGTATTGGGACGCTAAAGTTAGAATTTTGATTTCCTTAAACTTGTCCCTCAAGGATTCCCTCGGGTGCATATTATAAATAGCACGAATAGCCCTCTTCTGCAGGATGAAAATCGTTTCGACATCGGCAGCATTGCCCCATAGCAAAATGCCATAGGACATAACACTATGAAAATAACTAAAATNAATATTAATAGGAACAAACGGTAGCTTTCTTGTACTATTAACATCTGAAACAGATTTAATTTTAAAAGATAAGAATTGTCCACTGTGGTCTGAACTTAAATGATTAATAATGCATTTATGTAAAGGTTTTACATTTGTGAAAATATTATCTATACAGGTTGCCGATGTGCTAGTTATTCTTGTGGGCTCTGAAAATAGATTGCTAAGGTTATATGATTTTAACAATGTTCTGAGTCTAATAGTGGCATTTGTATTTTCTAATAAATTTATATTAAAATCACCACAAATAAAAACATGTATATTAGAAACAGAAAGCTTTAATAAAACACGTTCCATTATATTTTCAAAAAAATCATATAACGAATTCGGGGGCCTGTACACACTTACAACAATGAATCGCTCAAGCTCTACACATGCCATTTCAATAATCCGTTCCACAGAGAGGCTCACAATGTCTCTACGTTCCTTACATTTATTATCTTTATTAACAATGATCAGTGAGGCCATGTAGGTCACCGGTGCCCTACGCGGCGCGGACTAGAGTTCACCCATACTACCTGGACCCACTGCGTTCATCCACAGTGCGTTTCCAAAGATCTTTATTGCCACGTACCATTCGGCTCTGGAATAAGCTCCCCTTCACAGTGTTTCCCGAGCGCTATGACATGTCCTTCTTCAAACGAGACTTGTGGAGAGTATTAAACGGTAGGCAGCGGCTTGACTCTACCCCAGCTGACGTCCATGAGTAACGGTTAACACTCACCATCAGGTAGGCCGTACGCTCGTCTACCTATAAGGGCAATCAAAAAATAAAAAAATAAAACTTCACCAGGTCGCGTCCACGTACGAGAGTATCCTTTCTCCGTGTGCCTCTGGTATCCCGGTGGCTCGCCAAAGAAGACGAGGATCCAGCACGAGATTGCTCTCTTCTTCACGCATCTCTTGCCGGCGTATTTCGTGGACCTATTGCTGTTTCTCTTGGGCAAGAAGACTTTGTAAGTTCCTGTCTTTTATTATATTTGTTTTTATTAATCTATCTAACTAGATATAAATGGATATTTGTTTGTCTGTATACGCTCTTCGCGTACTTATACTACGTGGTCCATTACAATGGGGTCCACTAGAAACCCCATTCCACGAAGCCCGAACCACGCGGCCAATGATCGGAAATGCTGAGAAGACATTAACAAAAAGATAAAATCCTTTCCAAACATTATGGTCCTGAATCTCACCAGGGAGTTAGTTGAACGCAGAGTTCAACGCGTTAAGATCCCCATTCGATTTTTCAGCATGATCAAAGTCCAGAAACGCATCAACTACGGCCTTGAAGTCCTACAGTACTACACGACGAAGGAGTGGCTCTTTAAGAATGACAATTTCTTGGCTCTGCGCACGAAGATATCGGCTGAGGACGACAGAATATTCTATACAAACATTCAGGTAACACTGACTTTGACTGTGTGATTTATTGTGATTTGTGTTCCGAAGAAAATACGTAATTATATTTAATTAGAAAAATTGGTACCAGCTTGCGGGATTTGAATAACGACACAATTACATCGCTCGATACGAATGCACCGGGCGTCTTATCCTTTAGGCGCAAGGACTTCAGGCAGTATAGCCTCAGAGGATCGTAGTACCGAACGCGTTTGCCTATTAGCATTAGCCTCGCCCGGTCACCGTCCTCGTCCAACCCATAGCTTGCGACGAAGGGCTCGTCGAGCGAATTAACCCACAGACACAGCCCACTGAGTTTCTCGCCGGATCTTCTCAGTGGGACGCGTTTCGGATCCGGTGGTAGATTCTGCGAAGCACTGCTCTTGCTAGGACCAGTGTTAGCAACACTCCCGGTTTGAGCCCCGTGAGCTCACCCACACATTAAGGAGTAGCTGAAATAGCCTCTCAAGGCTATCAGCATAGGTAGGAAAAAAAATATTAAATTGTCCAAGGAGACATAATCGTTTTAGACGTATACACAAGAGGGGAGTGGAATGAGATAATAGGGATGAGCGGACTGCGCTTTGACCCGAGTCGATCGTAGTCAATTTGTAAGACCCAAACCTCAAGATCGTGAATTTCTCACTCGGATTCTTGCTATGAGTCCAGAACGCGCGGCCACTCACTCTGCGCCGGTCACCGCGAGCCGGCTGCCACTGATGATGTACCCGTTTTGTGTACAGGAGATCAACTGGAACGACTACATCAGAGAGTACATTAAGGGCGCCCGCGAGTTTTGCTGCGACGAGGACCCTTCCACCTTACCGCAGGCGAGGAGACTCCACAAACAGTAAGATTACGTTTTTTTTTATAGCTTTGATGGGTGGACGATCTCCCACCTGGTGTTAAGTGGTTACCGGAGCACGTAGAAATCTACAACGTAAATTCCCCACCCACCTTGAGATATCAGTCTCAGTATAGTTACAACGGTTGCTCCACCCTTCAAACCGAAAGGCATTATTGCTTCATGGCAGAAATAGACAGAGTGGTGGTACCTACCTGTGCGTATTCACAAGAGGTCCTATCACCAAAAAAGGTACGTATTTAATTGAATATGCAATTTAGAAAAGGGCACATCTCTGAAAATGTAAAATGTTCAGGAAATGAAAAAAACTGGTTATTTTCTAAAGCTTTCTAAAGCTTTTTAGTTAGGTGTAAAATTTAAAATATTGACTTTTGAGTTATATTTTCACGGAATAGATAAATAAGGCAATGCATGTAGTACATTGGAAGCGGACTTGGTCATTGCGTTCATTGGGCGAGTACACATCACGCAATGTATGTTGTTTATAACTTGTTGCAATAATGTTGTTAATGTTTGGAATTTCATAATGCTCAGTATATTTTTATGTTTTAGACAAATAATATTTGTAATTAAATGGTAATTTCGACTTACGGATCGAAAGATATACCTCCTCGCTCTACACTTGAGGTCTGACTTTTTGTTTTACAAGTTATAATTGCACAGCACGGCATTATAAAGCGGAGATCTGTTCGCCAAAGTAGTCCGAAGCGCATTAAACGCGGTGAATGAAAGAATCGGTCGAGTTATGATTGTAGAATCATAAATGTGGGACGCTTGCCCCGCCTACATTACCATTCCAACCTTATTTATCTATTGTGTATATTTTCGTATTAATTAGCAATTGAAAATTACTGGAATTATTATAAAATGGGTGTAGGTAAGCCTCAAAACTACATGTATATGAAAAAACGTATTTGACAAAATATGCGACATGTGCCCTTTTCGAAATTGCATATTCAATTAGAAAAATTGGTCCCAGCCTACGAGATTTGAATAACGACACAATCGCATCGCTCGATAATTCGATAATTCGAATGTTTCAAAATGGCTGAACAATGTCAATTCGTGGCACTGAAGATCGAACAATTAAAAAGCTACTTTGACCCACGCTCGAATCAAAATCGCGTTTTGTTCAGTGTTGTCTCGCAACAAAAACCGCATGCTTGAGCTGCAGAGGTGAAAAAGATATTTAACTTCGATCAGTCAGAGACCATCCGCTGAGCTAATTATTTTATTGTTACAGACTCTTCTACTTAGACTTCGCAGTTCGGCTAATAATCGTGTCATTGACAATATATGTCTCCTATTACTATTTACAAGTTCTATTTAATGTATTAGTTAAATAAATTAATTGAGAATGTCGACGGAGTTGTAAGAAAATATCGAATCATTGTTATTATAGATCGAGTACTTGTGGATATACTTTTTTTTTTTTCAAACAGATTTTATGACCCGGTAACTAAGACCTTTAGGTCATGTCTTATTCTAATTTACATATCTTATTTTTATGAATAATGATGATATGGAATAAAATGAAGATGATCAATTTGAGACAGTAATCAACTGGGATGATATTAAATGAAATGAGATAAGTTGATATGCGATGAAATATAATCTCAGTAAAATGGTGGTCATTTACTGAGATTTTTTTTCGTGGACTTTTTAGAGGATCCCGAGAATTTACTTCCAGCGGCTTTGTTTAATTTTCCCACATTTGTGCACTTTCACGGATACTAAACAGCTAATAAACCACCGTTATTACACATTTAAACCTGAAGAAACACTAAATAGACAAAATAAAACAAATCACACAACTTCACTCCTCGCGTTCCCGCCAAAAAGTCACTTTGTGGACACCTATTACGAAAGGTTCAATAGTGACTACCCGACATCACTGTAATAATGTTTTTTGAATAAATCTCTTTAATAATCAATCAGCGGTTCTAGGTTTTTTATTTGTTTTGTTAACTAGTGTTCCTTAATTTTAAATCTACCAAAAATCGATCAAGTTTGATTTCATATATATGGGGGATATGGCTTGAGTGATCCACACCATTGAAATGTGGTGGAAATTATGTAGTTTATGCTGGGGGTAGGACCTCTTGTGAGTCCGTATGGGTAGGTACCACCGCCCTGCTCTATTTCTGCCGTGAAGCAGTAATGCGTTTCGGTTTGAAGGGTGGGGTAGCCGTTGTAACTATACTTGAGACCTTAGAACTTATATCTCAAGGTGGGTGGCGCATTTACGTTGTAGATGTCTATGGATTCCGGTAACCACTTAACACCAGATGGTCTGTGAGCTCGTCCATCCATCTAAGCAATAAATAAAAAAGTACTCTCCACAAACCTCGTTTGAAGAAGGACATGTCATAGCGCTCGGGAAACTCCGTGGAGGGGAGCTCATTCCAAAGCCGGATGGTACGTGGCAAAAAAAACTCTACATGCGTAGTGTGGATGAACGCAGTGGCTCCAGGTCGTATGGACGAACTCTACTCCGGTGGCGGGCGGTGCGATGGTAAAAACGAGATTATGTATCATCTCAAACGATTTCCTTCATTCCTTCCTGCTCACAAGACTCCCTACCACCAGCGATGCTTACGGAAATATTTACGTTACGATTTTTAACCAAAAGATTTGGCTCCTTCATCTTAGTACGTACCTGTTTCATTAGGCAAATAGGTACTTGCTTGTGGTTATCTGCAAATGAATTCCTTCGCTATTTTAAGTGCGATGTCGTCTTTAACTACCACTGGTGGTCCAGAGAGGGTTCCGTCTTCTTCACCAAAGCTCCCGGCCTGATTACTCTCTCAAGAGACCTCCTCGTCCCGAAATTAGGAGTGCATCGATCATTACCGACGACTGTGTCGGCGCCGCGGAGTACTGCCGTCTTTAGTTCGCAAAAAAACACCAAACGACACTACAATTATTGTGAATTGCGAGGTCATGAAAATTCGTTTAATGCGTTTCAAAGAATAAATATTTGAGACGAGACGGGAGACGCAGAACTCGTATCGAGGGCCCGAGGAGGGAGAGGGAGAAAGAACAAAAACACTAATTATAAATACATTCGTCGGCTGCGTTTGACTGGCGAGCGATACGGAACATTGTTCATGAGAATGCCTAGTGACAATGTATGTATTGTGAAGGGTAGCCATAATACAAACGCAAGAAAATTAGGAAGTAAGTTTATATATATATATATATATATATATTTTTAGCAACGGCTTAATAATTTAAATAAATAAAAAAAATACAAAAGTGGGTAGGAACGATCGACACAGAATATTAAATCTAAGACAAGTGAACGCTGCGCGTGCTGCTAGCAAAAGTGATCCGAGGTGGCGTGATGTCCCCGCTGGTCGGTCGGTTGCCCCTCCAGATGACGAGTTGCCCCTCCAGATGACGTCACGAGTCCACGTGAGTGCTCGTCGTCAATGGCTCCGCCCATAGACTTTGACTTAAGAGGGAGTCGCCTCTAATAATATTATATACCGAGCGGGTAACATTGCTCGGTAGACTGACGGTCCGAATGATGTTGTTCGGAACTTGTATATATGTACGCTTATCTTGAAAATGTCGTAAGCGAGATTCAGGCATCTGTCAAATATCTTGAGTTCTACGATGGCTGTCAGACGGGTCTTACACGAAACAAGAGAGCTATTATCGCGACTCCACCACGAGCGACGACTGCGTCGAAAAAACGACTGCGAGTTAAATGAACTCCTCTCAAATAACTAGTATAACTATACTGAGACCTTAGAATTCATATCTTAAGGTGTGTGTCGGTATTTACGTTGTAGATGTCATAGGCTCCGGTAACCACTTCACACCAGGTGGGACGTGAGCTCGTCCATTCATCAATAAGAAATACATAAATAAATCACCATAAAAATGGATAGCCACATGTGACGTCATCTATTGTGATTGGTGTTTGTCTAGTGAGAATTTAAACGTGATTGAAATTGAAAATATGAACGATTGCATCTTCTTATTTCTTACTTCCTAATATAATTACTGGTGGTAGGACCTCTTGTGAGTCCGCACGAGTAGATACCACCACTCCGCCTATTTCTGCCATGAAGCAGTAATGCATTTCGGTTTGAAGGGTGGGGCAGCCGTTGTAAGTAAACTTGAGACCTTAGAACTCATATCTCAAGGTGGGTGGCACATTTACGTTGTAGATGTCTATGGCCTCCAGTACCCACTTAAGACCAGGTGGGCTGTGAGCTCGTCCACACATTTAAGCAATTTTTTTTCTTTCTAAAATCAGATATCCGAAACTCAATGAACCAAAAATAATTAGCTTTTTAACACTTCTAATATATTAACAAACGAATTATAAGTTCCTATAAATTAATGTGATAAAATAAACGCAAAAGTCCGCGAAGCTCGCCCGCTCAAGCTTATTATTATGTGAAGCACAATTCCGAAGTTTTTGTCAGCGCAATTTGCGAAGAGCAAAGATATTATTAACTAAACGATATTGACAGCTTTTAAGCTCGCTCGTATGTTCACGCTGCGAACTTTTTTCGGCAGACAGAGCGGGTAATTGTTGTCAGTTAATTTTGAACATTGTATAGCTGGTGGCTTGTAAGATTCTAAGGGGCTCAACCGCGATACCAATACTGCTATCCGCTTTGAGACGCGGGGTCAAGTCTTAAACAGGTTATACAGTGACGGTCCTGACCTTCGAACCACCACCACCACCCGTCACCACGGGTTCCAGGTGGCAAACCAACGCAGTCCTCCATCACTCCACTACAATTTAACACAGAAAATAAGAAGTATAAAATAAAAACGATTTAAGCCTATTAAAATGTTCCCAGAATTCAGTCTACGACACATGACCCGTTTCGTATTGAGAAAAACTATAAACTTGTATTAGTGATGTGCGAAGCGAGTGGCAGTCTTGTCGATATATGATTTAGTGTCGGGACTAGGAGCAAGTAGCGTATTCGTTAGCAAGGGGCACAAACCGGCCGATGCCTATCATTGAGGTAGCTTCGAGTAACCTTGAGGCATGGGGTCGTAGTCTCAATATACAAGAGCGACCGTCCTAAGAGTTTACGCGTTACGGCTTCATGACAGAAAAAGGCAGTGATATGTATTGTTTTTTATTGCCCTTGTAGGTAGCAGGTGGTAAACGAGGCTTGTGGAGAATACTTAACGGTAGACAGCGGCTTGGCTTTGCCCCTGGCATTGCTGACGTCCATGGGCGACGGTAACCACTCTACATCAGGTGGACCGTATGCTCGTCTGCCTACAAGGGCAAAAAAAACTTTCGTTTCTCCTATTGAGCCACGTTACATTATTAAATTACCATTTTTCCCCTATCTATTCGCTAGTACCCTTTTTTTACGGCATAGGGCAAGGCTTCCACGCCTAAGAGGCACGCGGGGTATGTGGGACTTGTCTGTTTGTAGATGTTCTGAGCAGACTGCCGGTTCAAGGATGTTTAAGGGCCCTAGCCACCAAACGACTCCACTTGCACTCTCTCACCTGACGTCCGATCTCCACCTGGGGTCAGAACCCAGTCAGAGTAGGGGGGTTCCCGCGATTAACAATACAACCAGACTCGTGGCGCCACTCTATGGGGGACAACTCTATGTCAGCCGTCTCGGGATGACGGGCGACATAGAGTTGTCCGCCAGGCGGTAACGCTGGCCAGCGGCACCGTCCGGGCGGCCCGACGGGCTGCCGTACCGAGACGGCCGACGTTTCAGAGACTTCGATTCGCCTCGAAGGCTCCGTCGGCTGGGCATCCTTGGGGTGAGCCGCGCCGTCTGGTTGTAGTGTTGACCGCTGTAGCCCCCCTACCTCATCCGGGTTCTGACCTCGGAGGGGATCGGACGTCGGGTGTAAGAGTGCAGGGGAGTCGTTTAGTGGGTGGACCCTAAAACCCTTGGGCCCGCGGTCTGCTCACAACACCATGCAGATCGTAGAGTCTCACATACCCCGCGCGCCCCTTTTGTGCGGGGACCTCGTAGGAGGCTCGGGCCCTACCCGAAAAAAAAAAAAAAAAAAAAAAAAAAAAAAAAANAAAAAAAAAAAAAAAAGGCGGTACCGCTGGTGTTCTAGAATACCCCGCTGGTAAACTAAGTGGTGTTTCAGCTACGCGCAGACGGGTAGGTGAGCTCACGGGTTCAACCTGAGAGAATTAGCTAACACTAGCCCTAGCAAGAGCAGTGCTTCGCTGAATCTACATCAGAATCGCGATCCACTGAGAAGATCCGAAACTCTGTGGGTTAAATTACAATAAAAAATTACATGTGGCACCATAGCACACGAAAGCATCGATGTTTTCACATTAAATCTTTCCAATCACTAATTAAGCTCCGTAACTAAGTCGCTTGCAAAACATTTATAACGTTCGCCCGGAGTTCAACTCATTATATTACCAAACGAAAGTTCTTTAAAA